CACCTTAGGAATATGTGGCTGGAGCCTTAGCCACTTGAGCCATAGGCGCTGAGCCCTTTCTCCATCTTTCACTGCTTTGCTATGTTTTATTTGATGCAAAGTCTATTTGAAAGTAGAGATGATTTTTTTAAGTACCTAAAGTGTCCTGTAGTCAGAAGATACTCAAATGTCTTTCTCTTATTTACTTCTGTTGAGAAAAGCTGAATCAAAGTGGGTAAGAAAAGACAAGGAAAGAAATGACAGTAGTAAAGATAACCACAAACCTTCAGCATAAAACATACCTGAGAACTATCTGGCATTAACTGACTTTAAGTAATAGCATACACATTGAAACTTCCATTTCTGGCTATCATGGTGTAGCTAGGGAAAAGATTTACTTTTCCACCTTAAACAGCTTGAAAACCAAACAATATGAAACAATAGTTTTCAGATACTAGACAGAAGGCACAAAACTATAGTCCTTGAAGACAAGATGTTGTTTTGTAATTGTCCCACTTTTCTGACTAAAGGCAGTTTGCAGTCTGCTATGAAGTATGGGAGAACCCCGAACATTAACTAGGTGGTTTCCAGAAATTTAAAGAGAGTAGGATTTTGGGAAGGTTGAGAATATTGGGGGAAAGAGTTATACAGGGAGAAAACTCTAGACATCTGCAGAATGGTCTTCCCAAGTCCTTGGCCAAAGTCTGATCAATACATGCATAAGAGATAATGAGATGGTGCAAACAGGTATTGCAAAGCAATAGGCCTGGCTCAGCACCCATAGCAGAGTGGTTATGGCACCAGCCACATACACTGAGGCTGGTGGGGTTCAAACCCAGCCCAGGTCAGCTAAAACAACAACTGCAACCAAAAAAAAAAAAAAAAAAAAAAAAGCCGGGCATTGTGGTGGCACCTGTAGTTCCAGCTACTTGAGAGGCTGAGGTAAGAGAATCACTTAAGCCCAAGAGTTTGAAGTCGCTGTGAGTTGTGATGGCATGGCACTCTACTAAGGATGACATACTGAGACTCTGTCTCAAAAAAAAAAAAAAGAGAATAAACATTGTATATCTTTGGCTTGGTGCCCATAGCTCAGTGGTTAGGGCGCCAGCCACATACACTGGAGGGTTCGAAATTGGCCCAGGCCTGCTAAAAACAATGACGGCTCAGTGACTGTAGTACAGTGTTTATAGTGTTGGCCACATACACCTAGGCCAGCGGGTTCGAACCCAGCCTAGGCCAGCTAAACAATGATAACTGCAACAACAACAAAAGAAATAGCTGGGTGTTGCAGGCGCCTATAGTCCCTGTTACTTGGGAGGCTGAGGCAAGAGAATTGCTTGAGCCCTAGAGTTTGAGGTTACTGTGAGCTGTGATGCCATAGCACTGTGCTGAGGGTGACATAATGAGACTGTCTCAAAAACAAAACAAAACAAAAAGCCAAATAAATATATAATAAAATGCAAAAAGAAAAAGATGAACAAACACATTTCATTTCATCAACTTGGATAATTTTTTTTTTTTTTTTTT